TTGAAGGCATTTTTGCGCCGATCCCAAGACCTACGCCCACGCCAATCTACGTAAATCTTAATATTATGTACATGAAAAGAACTAAAGTGCAAACCCTCGGCGAACTGCGCATGCGCAATACCGCTAATGGATGGGCTGGGCTATTAGCGTTTACTCGCGGTCTCCCGCTAGTAGCTCGCGGAGAGTCTGACACGGGCTAGCTACGGTGGTAGATAGCATGCGGGAGTCGATACACACCCTTCACTGTGGCTTCATGTGCCTCCAAGGTACACATAGCAAGCGGATCAGGTCGAGGTGAGCCAGCCAGCGCGAGCATACTGCGTGCGTCGATCGCGTCTAATACACGCATGCGCACCGCTTATTGATGGGTTGGGCCACGCAACGCTGTCCGCGACCGTGCCAGTTTGTCGCTCTCGAACGCAGTCGTTTCAGCAAAATCGCCATTTTAGTTTTCTAGCCCCTGTACCGCTAAAGCTGTTGGTATCGCTCATAAGACGCCTCGTTGCCTGTAGTGCGAGAATAGTCGTAGACAGACACACACAGAGAACGACTACCGTAACCCTCGCTGCGCATGCGCGCCGAGGGTTAAATATCTTACCCTCTACTGAATCATCTGCCATCATGGCTGTGTAAATACAGTGTATTGAGGGAAAGAAACGGAGAACATCTTAAATGACTTTGGCAAAAGAATCAATGAGAATGCAGGATGCTGAAAGTGAGAGGCAACAGTGCGCCAGTTGTGAGGAGGAGCAGTTCCAAATGACTGAGTTTGTTAGAGCCGGCAGCGGTTGTTCTAGCACTGGCATCGGCTGGTGAGTGGGTGTGGCCCTGCACCAGCTCATTGAGGACATGCACTGTCGCCACGTAGAGGAACGTCCCGGCCGAGAACAGCATGGCCACTCCGGTAATAGGGAGTTGAACCACGTACATTATCTGCAGGAACAGCACATGTAGTACATAATACAGAGCCACTATTATGGGGTTAGGTCATACTTACTCTGACTAGTCCAAAGTACGAGAGAAAGGCAGCTAGTGGAGCAGCCAGTGCAAACACAAGAAGGTGCTTCTTGGCTGTGGCCTTGTCATACCCCTATCCAGTGTGAGAAATATTAATATCATCATCAGAAAGAACTGACTGAAGATCAGCTACAAAAGGATTAACTTACTTCATGGATCAAAAAAGATGTGAATCCAAATGCTGCTGGCGCCTAAGTAAAGAACTACGATTTCAACACTCCACAAAAAATTTTCATTGTGTATACTGGGATGTAGTTACCTTCCCAAGTATATAAACACAAATCATGCACATTGTAGCTACGATATTAATGCCTGAACCTTGTGAAGCATGATTGCCAGGAAGATGATGAGTTGGACCTCTACTTTAGACAGACCGGCAGCAGCACCCAGAGCCAGTCCATCAGCTGTGCGAAGAGAAAATGCTCAGCTAAAGTCAACTTGTCCACCTTTGTCAGTGACACATTGAGCCCTTATATATATACCTGCAGCATGTACAACTAGTCCAATGGTAGCTGTCAGATTGTGTCTCCGATGCCTTGTCCCACTAGCAACCTCAACATCAACTCCTAGTATCATAGGAACATTGCCAACACAGTCCCATGTCTATTATACAACAGGCATACCTGGAGGAGGTGCATGTGAGTGACCACCGCCAACTTGATCCACAAACAGCATAAAAATGAACCCCAACAACAGGGACAGCCCCATCAGTGTCTGCAAACCCTCCTCCCCTCCCTCATCCTCCTCCTCCTCCTCCTCCTCTTCGTGACTCACTGCGTCAGGAGCCACAGTCTTGACCACCAGGTGCTGAGCGCCATTCTCATTCAGTGCCTGGAAGTCTGGGGCGTTGATGGCTGCCAGTACCTCCACTGTGTGGGCAGTTGGCTGGGCATGGGGTGCTCTGTGAGTGTGCTGGTGCTCCAGACCTACAGTCAAGTTCTAGAGGTTTCTCTGTGTAACTATCAACCACCAATTTCATTCACACATGAAGGTCACTGGTGATAGGTGCACAACAAGAGGAGAGATAGCCTTCCTATGGGGTTTATAGCTGCTTCCAAACCTTACACATGGTCGTGTAGTAAGGATACACAGGTGCACAGCCTACATTACATATTCATGTTGCAGTATCCAGGTATGCCGTAGTTGTTTTTTTGGAAGAGAAATGTACAAATCTGTACATAAAGAGTGGCCAAAACTGTGCTACAAGTAAAGTGACCCATGAAGTCTGCCTTCCTAGGTCGGTACTTGATGCACCAGAAAAACAGGATGCCTCTATTGGTTTACTAATAGTAAAAGTTATCCCAACCTTCACTGTAGAGAGCCTCCACTCCCTCGGGAATGATGACTATGAGAGCTGTCCCTATCAGCAGACCTGCTCCGAACGTCGTCACTCGCCGCAGCAGACTCTGGAAAGAGTGTGAGGATATGCAGATCACGTCTTGTGTACATTGGCACACAAGTCACATAGCTATACGGCATACAAGGCTACGTGCATCTAGCTAGTCCTGTAGCTACCTCTGAGAGGCTGAGAACCAGAGGGATGGACCCAGCTAGATAGCATCCGAAGAACATCGACAGAGAGAGAGCAAATAATCGCCAAAAGTCGTCCATTGTGGGGGGGCGCAAAAACTAGACTGACCCCCTTGAATTATTTTTCGAAATTTCGTGTGCAAAATTAGGTAAAAATACCGCAATACTCAGAACTTTGACCTTTCCATGTGACTTGAGAAAGTGCAGCTTCTTTATTTTATGGCAGCGCTCCGTCAGGCCTGTGGAAGCTATGGGAGGTTGAATTCAGCCGTAGCTCCGTGCAGCACATCCTGGAAGAGAGTCTGTACCGCGAGAAAACTGCACAGTCTTCTTACGCGTCCTATCGGTAGAGATGTTAGAAATTGTGTGGAAGTCAAGAAGACCAACTTCAGGTCTATATCGTTTTCTTCCCGGTCGTCTCCCTCGGAGTTCAGCCTGTCTGCATGCATCGGAGAGAGGTGCGTTGATAGCATGCTGCTAACTCAGTGTGTAATGAGGTCTATTGACTCCCAGTGAGATAAAGTTTTCCAGTGGGAAAAGTGGCTCTGTTAGCTGATGGAGCTGCAGTGGTGCAGGTAATGTGTGCTACACTCAATTCTATAGGGTATAGAAGAAATACTCTACCTTGCCTTGTAACTGCGACCTCATTGATCTTACTGTAACCTCTCTCCACTGACAGAGTGGCAGCACGTGTCTCCTAGTGACTGCAGTTAGCTCCAAGGTCCCTGCACCCTCCTCACAAGGCATCCCACTGCAGGTGAGGACAGTCCACTAGTATCATGGGAGGGGAGGACCCTCTCATTATCTGGCCTCCTGTCCAGGTGGAATACAGAGAGAGGGCAGCAGCTGCAGGGAGAATACCTCACAACTTCCTCAAGAGAGAGCTGAGGATGTCAGAGAGAGAGATCCTGGTCAGCAGGTTCATCGGTAAGATCCGTCCACTCACTAGAATGAGTACTGGGAGACCTGGGGAGGGTGTACTACTATAGGCAGGTCTCATGGCAACTTTATAGTTGCTCCAGCTATGATGAAGTATTCAGGATATTTGGTTTGCCTGTCTTTCGCCGTACGTAGTAGTTGACCCTATGAGCCTCGGCTGGTTATGTGTTTATCTTCCACAGATAGATCAATTCGACCGTTCTTTCCCAAGGGCTTTTCCTATGATACCCAGGTGAGACCTCACAAGCCTGTATGAGTGAGTATGTACAGTATGTACCTACGTATGTGTTGATGGTGTGTGTGTTCCCAGGTGATCTGCAGCATGCTGGCGGTGGACGGTAGACATGACCCTGAGGTTCTGGCCATCAATGGAGCTACTGCTGCTCTCTGTCTCTCTGACATTCCCTGGAATGGTCCAGTCGGTAGGTAAACCCCTCTCATCTCTCAAAATTGTTTTTTAACCCTCGGCTTGCATGGTCAGCGAGGGTTACTGTACTTGGTCTGTGTGTGTGTCTGCCTATTCGGGCACTACCGGCTACGAGGCAGCCTATTAGTGATACCAACACTATGCGAAATGGTGATTTTCCTCAAACGACTGCTTTCGAGAGATATACAGTGAAAACAAGTGAAAAAACCAATAGTATGCATAATTGAACTGGCTTACCTCGACCAGATCCACCTACTCTGTGTAGACTAGCAAGTGAGTAAATTTATGTCGCATAGCCCAGCCTATCATTTAGCGATACCGTACATGTGTGTAAAGGTTTAATATTTTCAGTGAGCCGAGGGTTAGTGCTTAGTGCTTTTCATTTTTGTTAGGTGCTGTGCGTGTTGGACTGATTGACGGCAAGTTCTGCCTCAACCCAACTGCTAGAGAGGTATGTAGTGAAATGTTCTTTACTGTCCTGTGTTGAATAATATTTGTGTATCTCAGTTGTCCGGTAGTTCCCTTGATCTTATTGTGACATCTACCGAGAGGAATATTGGTGAGGTGGCGAGACACGCAGTGTGTCCTCTCTATCATGACGTGTTCTCTATCTCGTATTGTGCAGTGATGGTGGAAGGAGTGGGTAGAGAGGTGGCAGAGGACACATTCTGTGAGGCTGTCCTCTTTGCCCATGAGGAGGTAAGGTGCATCGAGTTGTGCGTCTCTCGATATTAAGCAGTAATACCGTCATACCATGTGTTGTGTTTCTGAGAAGTGCGGGTCGTTGCTTCGTGGTTTCCTGTTTTCTATTCTATTGTCTGCGTACTCTAACCCCTAGCCCTATTCCATTATATAAATCATACTGTGTATTGAACTAGTCATAGTAAAGCCTGATTTAAGAACCAAAGTGCTTTGCTCTTTCTCGTTTTGGTAGTGAAGCATTAGTCCCACGCACTAGATGTATGTTCCATAGGTCCAGCCCCTGTTGGCTACTCTGAAACAACTGAAGGAGGAGAGAGGGAAAGCTCCACGAACTGTCAATCTCCAGACACCCTCTCCTGAGCTGGAGGAGTTTATATCCAGGTGAGTATACACTGTAATGGGATTTGATAAGTAGTAAGAACTTTAGGGAAGAACGTTCTCACAGTTTTCTTCTCATGCACAATGGTTTCTGCATAGGTACAGAAAACTTTTGTAACTCTGAAATTGGCAAGAGATTTTTGTCCCTTGAAATGGTTTTTACAGTAGTGTGTGTGGATAGCACAGTGCCTGTATGCCTCTAGTAACATACATTTCATGACTACATACACATGCCGTCCACTGTAACCAGTGAGTGCAGGGAAGGTATTCGGAGTATTCTGAGTGACTTCTCCCACAAGAAGTTGTCCAGAGACTCTGCCCTGAGAACCCTCCTGTCCACAGCCTCAGAGAAACTCTCCCTCCGTCGAGATAGCGACGGTTCCCGCCCCCCCTCGCCCCCTAATTCCTCGCTCGTTACCTCGACATTCTGGTCCCTGTGTGGACAACAGCTTCAGTCCTTGGCTCTTGATGGTGGCCTCAGGTGAGACAAAGTACACTTGCATGTGCCATGCATAGATCTGTGACATTTCTCTGCATATGCGAAATTATGCATGTGCGCAATAATTGCATGCGCCGTGCGTTATTAAAGTGGCCCATGGCATTGCGCAGTTGTTACGTGCGTGCCATTTGCGTGTGGTGCACATAGTGTTAAGGTTTGGCAATTCTTAAATTAATGTGAGACGTGGTGGTGGCTCAAAATTGATGCCCCTACGCCGGTCTTGGTAATTACCCTCAGCGCGCATGCGCAGCGAGGGTACAGTAGTTGGGTCTGTCTGTCTGTCTGTCCTTCTGTGTGTCTGTTACTCAACATCTCACTTCTCCAATGTTCGTTCGTCTCACAAACGATATGACTTACCCAACAGCCAATGAAGGTCAGAAAGTTTGTGCAGTTTTCTCAGAAAATGCTCCGTTGCAAAGCTAGAGCGCGAAAAAGCCAATATGCAAATACACAACGGACGGGATGGCTTACCACCGTCTGATCGATCCGCGTGCCACCTCGGAGGCACCAGAAGATGCAACGCAGGGCGTGTATCGCCTCTCGCATGCTATCTAGTAGTGTATATAGTTAGCCCGCGTCAGACTCTGCACGAGCTGGGAAGAGACCGCGAGTGACACTGCTAAAACTAAACCCAGCCCATCAATTAGTGGTACGGCGCATGTGTTTGTTTACGAGTGCGTGTCATGTCACAATGCGCCGAGGGTTTGCACTTCAGTGCTTTTCATTGTACTATGTTTTTCCGGATTGTATAGATGTGATGGTCGGGGGTTGGATGGCCTGCGTCCCATCTCCTGTGAGGTGGACCTCCTGCCCACACTGCATGGATCAGCCCTCTTCAAGAGGGGGAGACTCAGGTCTGTTGTATACAGTGGCACCTACGGACCAGGGCAGCTTGCGTATGAAAGGGGAGTGGCCGGCAAAACAAGGCAATTTTATATTCATTGTCATTTTGGAAGCTTACTCTAAGCAGGCAGCAAGTGTTGGCTCACTGGTGTATTCGTGTCCACACCAATTTTTAGTGCCACGCTAATCCAACCATTTTCCTCCTCTTGAACCCTGGATAAATACAACCACTAGTATTTGAAGTTTGTGCTTTTCATTTGTCACAGGTGTTCTGTACTGTGACATTTGATTCCCCAGAGTCAGCATCCCAGGCTGACCTCATCTCCATGATCCTCGGGTCAGCATCTCACACTCGTCATACTGCAGTCATCCTCTATGACTCTCTCCCTATTATTATAGAGCACAAAAGTACAAGCGCTTCATGATACACTACGAGGTATATAATTCCAGAAATTTAGTACACTTGAGGTTAAGTGCACTGTGAGAGGATCATACTCTGTCTAACACAGTTCCCGCCATTCTCCACTAATGAAGTTGGGAGATTTCTCCAGACTGGCAGGAGAGAGATTGGACATGGTACACCTACCTAACTCTGTAAACTTGCCATAGTCATGTGCGGTATCTCTCGGTGGACCGTCGTCAATTTTAAATCCAGATAATCATGATACCGGCGTCTCGATTTCATCGCAAACAGTGTTCATATTAACGATGTTCTCTGCATATGCATAGCTCTTGGCTGTGAAACTACTGACTACCTGCTGTTATGAGTTGTCCACTCTGCCCCCAGGAACCCTGGCAGAGAAGGCATTTCTCCCTGTCCTTCCTCCTCAGTTCCCGTTCACAATCAGAGTCACCTCACAGGTCCTGGACTCCAATGGTACATCACGCTCTTTACTGTTCTTTCTTGTACTCTGATCTCTCTC